CTTCCCATTTGGGCTCTTCCATGGCTGCAGACCAGGACTTGGGGCCCTCACGTGGCTGAGCACACTGCAGGCCCCAATGTGGCTTGCATTGAGGTGACCTCACCAAGGGGACATCAAAAAGCAGTGGAGGGAAAAATTAGACGGCAAGTCTGATGGACCTGGAAGCAGTGTCCACTGAACTGTGAGACTGTCCCCCTTTCAGTCAGGCATTAGCCTGCGGTCACAGGTCTCCTTCAAAACCACTCTGTTCTTGGGCTCCTTGCCAAGCTCCTTGGTCTTCTTGCCAAGCGGGAAGCATGTCAGCAGGCTCTGGGGAGGGCTGGGCTCCGGGAAGGCTGGCGCTGGCTGGGGCAGAGCCATCCTGGCCCCTGGTACCGGGCAGATGGTGCGTGGCCCTAACTACCCTGCCTTTCAGGCAGAAACAAGCTTGCTGAGTTCCTCCAGGGAGGTGCTAGCGGTGGTGATGAATCTGCAGGGATCTACCCCGCTCTTTGCACGCACCTCTAGTCAAGCAATTGTTTTGCTTTTTATTCAGCCGGGGAGCATTCTTTGAGCTCCTACTTTGTGCAGCACAGTGGGATAGAAATGTAGAGACAAAAGACAAAGTCTCCCTGCTGAGGGCTGTATGACGAGTGGGAGGTGCTAGGAACTGAATGTTTGCGTCCCTTCCAAATTCATGTGTTGACGCCTAAATCTTCAATGTGCTGATATTAGGAGGTGGAGCCTTTGGGAGGTAATTAGGTTTAGATGTGCTCAGAGCTCCCTCTGATAGGATTAATGCCCTTATGAAAAGAGAAAGACACACCTGAGTTCTCTCTCAAGCTCTCTCTCTCCTCTTTGTGCACACACCAAGGAAAATCCATGCGTCTTAGTCCATTTGCATTGCTATAAAGGAATACCTGAGTCTGGGTCATTTATAAATGAAGGTGGTTTATGGGGCTCATGGTTCTGCAGGCTGTACAAGAAGCATGGCCCCAGCATCTGCTTCTGGTGAGGGCCTCAGGAAGTTTCCACTCATGGTGGAAGGCAAAGGGGAACAGGCACCACATGGCATCACATGGCAAGAGACGAATTGGGAAAGAGAGGAGGGAGCTTCCAGGCTGTTTAACACCAGTTCTTATGGGGGCTAATACAGTGAGAACTCACTAAGAAGGAGGAGAGGACGGTACCAAGACATTCATGTGGGATCTGCCCCCGTGACCAAGCACCTCCCACTAGGCCCCACCTCCAACACTGGGGATCAAATTTCAACATGAGATTTGATGTGGCCAAAAATACTATATCCAAACCATGGCACCATGTGAGGACCTAACCCAGAAGAGGGCCCTCACCCAGAACCAACCGTGCTGGCATGCGGATCTCAGACTTCCAGCCTCCAGAACTCTGAGAAATCCATGTTTGCCATTGAAGCCCCAGGTCTGTGTGTTCTGTTACTGCAGGCTGAGCTGACCAAGAGAGGAGGGCCAGCCACAGCCCCAGGGGGCCCATGCTTTGGGTGGGTGTCTTGGGGAGGGGTTGCTATTCTTTCCCTGTCCCTGATAAACTTCAACTTGAAAACCCCTGTCATTAAAGATACCCACAGGGCCTGTGAATGATGCTGACCCCTCAGCCTCCTTTTGAGGGTGAGTATCTTGGGATGGGTCGAGTTGTCCTGGGCCCTGCACCCCACTAAGGATGTGGCAAAATTAAGGCTGTCGGGGCAGAAATAATTTGATAAAGGTTCACTGGAAGCCAAGTGTGAGGCTCGACGGGGGAAGACACACCAACAAAGCTGGGCATGTTCCAGAGCCTGTCACAGGTTGGAAGGCTTAGCTAGAAAGTGTAGGAGAAGGGAGAGCTCCTTTTCCATTGGTGGCTGCAACACAGAGGTTACATTCATTGGCTACAGATGACAACACACAGGCTAACATTCCATGTGCAAGATGATCAGTAAAACTTTGTGACTCAGAAACAAATGTGTCATTTTTATTTTGAGACACAGTCTCATTCTGTCACCTAGGCTGGAGCACAGTGTCATAATCATAGCTCATTGTAACCTTGACCTCCTGGACTCAAGCTGTCCTCCTGCCCCAGCCTCCCGAGTAGCTGTGTCCAGCTAATTTTTTAAAATTTTTTATAGAGACAAGGTGAGGATGAGGGAGGAAAGCGGGGCCGGGGGGTGCAGCAGGGAGGTCTCTCCATGTTGCCCAGTCTGGTCTTGAACTCTTGGCCTCAAGCATTCTCCTGCCTCTGCTTCTGAATAGCCGGAATTACAGGCATGAGCTACCCCACCTGGCTTCAGTGTCCTTTTTGATGTCAGTAGGTTATGTATTAATCAGTATGTCAACACTTTGAGGAACTCACAGTAGGATTTGAGGGCCTCGGGGTAAGAGCCTTTTCCCAGAGACAGGATGTAAGCCATGAATCATAAGGCCTTCCCCAGGCGGTTAATCCGGAAGCCCGCCAAATGTGACCTGTAGGTTATCAGATGGGTGTCAAACCTGTGCTCTCCAGGACTAGCCACTGGCTAATCACACATGGCAGTTGAAACTTACCCTATATAATACAAAAAGTGCAGCTCCTCAGTCACTTAGCTACTTCAAGTGCTCAGTACCCACAGGCAGCGAGTGGCTACCGCCGGGGACAGAGCAGACCTGGGACGCTTCTGCCATCACTGTACATTCTATGGGATGTTTCACTGCCTAGGTGCTGGCAACAGATAGTGGTACGCTGTGGGCCAGCTACGGAGGGGAGAGCCTAAACCCACTGAGGTGGGGCTGGGGGTGGTGAGGCTCATGGTGTAGGGAAAAGCTTCTCCAAGGAGCTGCAGCTCCGCCGATCCTCAGCCTGAGGCTCCTGCTCTCTCTGAGCAGACAGAGCCCAGACCTTGACCTCCCGTTGTGTGCCGGTGCTCCTCGGGACCGGGCCCCCTTCCTTGTCTTTCCACCTACCCCCTGTGTCTTTCCGTGGGCTCCCTTTGCCATCTTCTCCATAGGTTTTCAGCGGAGGCTGTACTTGCACAGTCCAGGGGGATCTCAAACTGCATCAGAGGCCCCTGGAGGGCTTGGTAAAGCACAGACTCCAGGGCTTCACCCACCGCCTCTGATCAGCAGATCTGCGGTGCAGCCAGAGACGGTGCATTTCAACAAATCGCCCAGCGATGCCGATGTTGCTGGTCTGGAACCACACTTTGACAACCGTTGGTGTGGTCTAAAGAATCCCATTCACTGATTCATGCATTCAACAAATATTTATTTAATGCTACCATGGGCCGGGTGCTCTTCCAGTGCCGGGATAAGCTGTGAGCCACCCAGAAAAGCCCTTGTCCTTCATTCTAGGACTTGGAGATGGACAGCAAACAAGTTTTCTAGGTTGAGTGGTGACAACTGTTAGGAGGAAGAATTATCCAGGGGAAGGCGAGAGGGCTATTGCACAAGGTCGTGGGGAAAGTCCTCACTGACATGGTGACATCTGAGCAGAGACCCGGGAAGGGACTTGGGGGAGAAGGAGACCCTGGACTTCCTGACTGCTTTGTTCTATCCTCAGCTTTTTAATGTGGAAAATGAGAGTCATGTTGAAAATCAAGGTCACAGTCTGGATGGGCATGATGGCTCACACCTGTAATCCCAACACTTTGAGAGGCCAAGGTGGGAGGATCACTTGAGACCAGGAGTTTGAGACCAGCCTGGGCAACACAGCCTCCGAGACACCGTCTCTACTAAAACATGCAAAAATTAGCTGGGCACTAATTGTGTTGCATGCCTGTAGTCCCAGCTACTCAGGAGGCTGATTCGGGAGGATCACTCGAACCTGAGAGGTTGAGGCTGCAGTGAGTCATGATTAAGCCACTGCATTCTAGCCTGGGCAACAGAGTGAGACCCTGTCTCAAAAAAAAAAAAAAAAAAAAAAAAATCAAGGTCATGTCTACTCAATAGCTAAGTGTTTTTTTTTGTTGTTTTTTTTTGTTTTTTTTTTTTTTTGAGACGGAGTCTTGCTCTGTCGCCCAGGCTGGGGTGCAGTGGCCGGATCTCAGCTCACTGCAAGCTCCACCTCCCGGGTTTACGCCATTCTCCTGCCTCAGCCTCCTGAGTAGCTGGGACTACAGGCGCCCGCCACCTCGCCCGGCTAGTTTTTTGTATTTTTTAGTAGAGATGGGGTTTCACCATGTTAGCCAGGATGGTCTCGATCTCCTGACCTAGTGATCCGCCCGTCTCGGCCTCCCAAAGTGCTGGGATTACAGACTTGAGCCACCGCGCCCGGCCTCAATAGCTAAGTTTTAAAGACAAATTCAAGTGTGTGTACGTGGTTTGTTACAAAGAAGCCTGGTGCCAAAAGCCATAGATTTGAGCTCAGCTTGCAGTTTCACTCTTGGGCCACAGCAACTGATCCTCGTGCTTCAGAAACCTCTGCTGGCCACACCCCTCTCTGCAAGGTTAGGAGTCCCCAGGGCTAAGGGTACCAGGATAGGAGCCTGTGTGCCCCTTTACAGGATGCCATAGGATTACCAGTCCATATACCTAGTCCAGTTCCAGGACCCACAGCCCCCTTCCTGTCTATCCCTCAGGGCAGACCAGGCCCCAGGGTTTGCACCCCAGGCCAGGAGATGACTGTGTAGGGATGGGGTGGACGGAACTTGACCTGGGGTCTGGAATGTCCATACAAACGTGTACTGATGATGGATAGAGGGGGCCAGGCCAAGCCAAGGGCTCTATTTATCTTCTTGTCTTGTGCTCTGCAAACATCGGGGCAGACCTGTTTGCTTCAACCCATTAGTTGAGTGCTCCTTACCTCTATCCAGCTTTGGGGATGAGAGAGTGTAGGCCAATCTACCACTGCTGGAAAAATAAACAAATGTCATAGAGATCATGGGTCAGTGGTGGTCCCTGCATCAATGAGAACAGAAGATGCATGGAATCAGCCCTATCCCCTCTTAAAAACATAAGCTTTTATGATGATGAAGTGCAAATTTTCAGTGCCTTTCACACCTACTTTTTCTTTTTAATGTGTGATATCTTTTTCAGGCACAACTATCTCAGGCCTTAAATGGAGTTTCGGATAAGGCAAAGGAAGCAAAGGAGTTTCTGGTTCAGCTGAAGAACATATTGCAGCAGATCCAGGTGAGCACAACTCTGGCGTCAGGAGAAATACTCAGTGTGGAAAGTTTGCACGTTGTGCATCGTAATAAGAAGAAAGGGGTCAGGCGCAGTGGTTCATGCCTGTAATCCCAGCACTTTGGGAGGCCGAGGCGGGTGGATCACCTGAGGTAGGGAGTTTGAGACCAGCCTGACCAACACGGAGAACCCCATCTTTACCAAAAATACAAAAATTAGCTGGGCACGGTGGCGGGTGTCTGTAATCCCAGCTACTCTGGAGTCTGAGGCAGGAGAATCGCTTGAACCCGGGAGGTGGAGGTTGCGGTGAGCCGAGGTCGTGCCATTGCACTCCAGCTTGGGCAACAAGAGCGAAAGTCTGTCTCAAAGAAAAACAAAAAGAAGAAGAAGAAGAAAGGAAAAGTCTTGTGGCGAGGATTTTCTCAGTGATGGACATTAGAAGGTTAATGTGTCCTACCCTCTAGGCTTGGGTGTTGAAAGTATCACATACTCAACTCATTGGCACACACGCGACACTTGATACAGGAAAGGACTTTTACACAGAGCCAGTTAGAGAGAGCTGGAAAGATGTGATTTAGCACTCTACATATCATGTTGTCCTAGGTGGCATCTGTATATGGTGCTTTTGTGGCCAAATATGCCCATGTCATCAAGGCATCAAAATATAAATGCATTGTTTTCTAAACAAATGTGTTTACTGAACTCTTATGCTGTGTCAGGTACTGAGCCCAGCACAGGATATAAAGATCATTGAGGCACCATCTGTGGCCTCAGGGTCTGTCTATAGGGGAGAACGTGCACACACAAGTGCTCCTGTGTGAATGTACACACATAGAGGAGCTGCTCATAAGATGAGAAACCCATAAAGCATTGACATATCTAGAGGAAGAAAAGGGACTGAGGGTCCTTGAATTCTTGTTTTTTGTTTGTTTGTTTGTTTGTTTTTGAGACAGAGTCTCACTCTGTCACCCAGGCTGGAGTGCAGTGGCTTGATCTCGGCTCACTGCAACCTCCGCCTCCCGGGTTCAAGCAATTCTCCTGCCTCAGCCTCCTGAGTAGCTGGGATTGCAGGCACCTGCCACCATGCCCGGCTAATTTTTTGTATTTTTTAGTAGAGACGGGATTTCACCATATTGGCCAGGCTGGTCTCGAACTCCTGACCTCATGATCCACCCACCTCACCTTCCCAAAATGCTGGGATTACAGGCATGAGCCACTGTGCCTGGCCCCTTGAATTCTTAAAAACCACCCTTCCTAACAAGTTAAGTACAGACTTCAGCCACGGGGCATTTTAAGTCATAATTTTTCCCATGTTTCACAGACATGAGATATATTCGCCTGCTGGGGCTGCCATCGCAAAACACCAGAGATTGAGTGCCTTAAGCAGAAGAAATCTATTTTCTCATAGCTCTGGAGGCTGGAGGTCTGAGATAAAGCGTCAGCAGGGTTAGTTTCTCTTGAGGCCTCTCTCCTTGGCCTGTGGATGGCCGTCTTCTCCCTGTGCCCCCACATGGTCTGACCTCTGTGCATCTGTATCCTCATCTCTTCTTATAAGGACACCAGTTATATTGGACCAGGGTCCACCTATACAACCTCATTTTACTTAATGACCTCTTTAAAGGCCTTATCTCCAAATACAGTCACATTCAGGGGCACTGGGGAGGGTTAGGGCTTCAATGTATGAACTTGGGAAGACAAAATTCAGCTCATCACATGAGGTCTGGATCCACATTGAGACCCAGAAGGAGATTTTTAAAAACTGAGAAAGACTTTACTGCAAGAGCATTATTATTATTATTTTTTTTGTCTGTCTTACTTTTTTCCAATTATACAAAGCACAGTGGCTCACGCCTGTAATCCCAGCACTATGGGAGGCCGAGGCGGGCGGATCACAAGGTCAGGAGATGGAGACCATCCTCGCTAACACAGTGAAACTCCGTCTCTACTAAAAATACAAAAAATTAGCTGGGCGTTGTGGCGGTTGCCTGTAGTCCCAGCTACTGGGGAGGCTGAGGCAGGAAAATGGCGTGAACCTGGGAGGCGGAGCTTGCAGTGAGCCGAGATCACGCCACTGAACTCTAGCCTGGGCAACAAAGCAAGACTCCGTCTCAAAAAAAAAAAAAAAATAGACAGACAGATAAGAAAAAGTTCACCAATATCCCCCCATCTGAGGTGACCACTCTCAGCGCTTTGATACATATTGTTCTATTACTTTAAACACACACACACACACACACAATGTATGGAATTATGCTGTGAACAGCATGTATCCTGCCTTTTTTCCTTCTTAACAGTCTCTAATAAGCATTTTCCCATGGCATTAAAAATGCCCTATGAACAAGATCTGAATGACTATAGAATGTTCTGCCATATGGCTGTGCTGAGATTCATAGTACCTGCCTTAATTCATATAAATATTGTCTCTAATTTAACAACATTATAGAGAACTCTAGGATGAACTTCTCTGAAATATATTTTTGTCTATAGCATTCACCAGATTTTAGCATCTTCTCCCCTAAAACTCTCTGCTTCTTCCCAACCAACCCCTGACCTCTGCCAGGAAAACGGACTGGACTACGAAGCCTGCCTGGTTGCTCAGTGTGATGCCCTTGTGGATGCTTTAACTCGTCAGAAAGCCAAGCTGCTCACCAAGGTGACAAAGGAGAGGGAACACAAGTTGAAGGTAGGTACCTGAGAGACTGACACATTGAGTCCCTGCCACATCCTCTGCAACTAGCGTGGGGTGGAGCACACAGTAGGCACTGGGTAAATATTGGCTAAGTGAGTGAATGAATGACCTAATGAATGAATGAGACAAAGAAGGGATGCACCAGCTGGTTCAGTTACATTCATGTGACCTGACAGAGATCAATCAATATGCCCTGTATCTTGAGGATTTCAAGTCAGAGGCCCACCTTCTCCCTCCCTGTTTCTATCTAAGGGACTATTCTTATTCTCATTTTGCAGAGCAGAAGTGACCAATGACAGTGACTAGCGCTGACCCTGTTCAGGTCTCCAGCTCTGTCCCCTTCTTCAGGTCCTCTCTGATAGCTCATGTCCTCAACAGTCAGCAATAACATACACAGCCAGTTACCACCAAGGGAAGACGAGACTCTCCCCTCACATCACACTGAGTCCCTGACTCAACCAGGCACCCATGAACTCTCTGAGTTGATGACGGGCTATCACTGTTTGAGGAGCTCCATCTGTGCTAGAGACATTTCATAACTGGACCAGAAAATACTACTGTCAAGAAAAGCAGAAATGCATGCTGGAGATGATCCCATGGTTCATAAGTGAGGGGGCTAAGACCATCGCGTTATCCAGGGCCACAGAGAGGTCAGAAGCCAGTCAAGAAGCTGGTCACTGATTGTATGGAGAGTTCCAGATTATGCTGTTTCTCTGCATGACTGTCATGAGTTTAGAAAGGTTTCTGTGTTGGGTGTTGTAGCCCTGCTTCTTGGGAAGTGAGTCCACTTATTTCCCAGCAAAGAGCTCAGCAGTAGAGCCGAGACAGGAGTGGGTGCGAGGTGGTCAGGCCAGCGCCGCTTCTACCAGGCTGTATTGGCGCTAGTTCTCTGACTCTTGCCGTGGCCTGCCTGCTCTTCCTCTCAGGAGACAGTTACTTAGAGGAGTCTTTCCATTGCAGGTGGTTTGGGACCAGATCAATCACTGCACACTGAAGCTGCGTCAGTCCACCGGACTGATGGAGTACTGCCTGGAGGTGATCAAGGAGAACGACCCCTCGGGGTTCTTACAGGTGAGCCTGTCCCTGGAAGACACCAGATGGTCTTCCTCCAACTGCCCCACTGTTCCCCAAATCAGTCCAAATTCCAGTCAAGATCCTTTCCTGGCTTGGATTGAGCAGATTCTCCTTTGCTCAGTGATTCCAGAAGACCTAGGGTCTCACCTTGGCTCTGACTCTCACTAGATGTGACCTAATTTTGCAGCATGCATGAAACGAGGAGGTGAAATGACATCATCTCTAGGGCTGAAATGCCTCACTGCAACATTTTCCCCACAAACGGGAAAGGACAGTCTTGCCAAACAAGCTGGACAGATTGCACCGGAAGAAGCAAGTTAGCAGAATCCACATGGCCCATTATCTCAATGTGCAGAATCCTGCAGGCATGGCTGGTGACCAGCTGCCTACAGAGACAGTGCAATCTTCTCGGGGCCATCTCTCCTGCATTCAGGCTGACTCAGGGTCATGAGTATCTCTCAGGAACATGGCAGTGATTCAGCCTCTGTCAGTGGGGAAAATGATGAATCCCTTTGATTGTTTCCCAAGAAAGATACACGAGATCCTGGCTCGACAGGAACACGTGCAAATGTCTGATAAGCAGGACTTTCCAGCAAAGGGGAGCAGAACCATGGGTGTGATGCAGTCAAGTTTGGAGCAGAAGTTGCAGAACTCAGAGGAAACACACGGGCAGGGAGCAGATGTGGGCTTAGAAATTTTAGGGGTGTGGAATATGCTTTCTTTAGACACTGGGGCAAACTGCTAGTATGTTTCACTTTGCAAAGTACTAGATCTAGGAAAACAGATCTAATGAAGGATGCATTTCTATATTTAAAAAGCATCTTGTATTTCTCAACAGTGTTTGCTACACTCTCTTTAGGCAGCAAGTGCTTCTTTTCATTTCATGTGACTCTGAAATATGATTGAAACAACATTTCAATGCATTTTTAGACAGCTTGTGCTGGGTGCGCAGGGGTCATTTAATCTCTGCCATGGCTCGAGAGCACAACCCTTTTCTGTCTCTGAGTCCCATAGAGACAAAGCCCCTACCTCTTCCTCACCCCTGGCTGCACAATTTTCCCTTTGCAAAGCAAAACCTTAAACTCTTTGCTCTCCTTTAAGATCTCAGATGCTCTGATCAAACGCGTCCAGGTGTCTCAGGAGCAGTGGGTCAAAGGCGCCCTGGAGCCAAAAGTGTCTGCGGAGTTTGATCTGACCTTGGACAGCGAGCCGCTGCTGCAGGCCATCCACCAGCTGGACTTCATTCAGATGAAATGTAGGGGTGAGCCGCGGTTGGCCCCAGTTCAGTTAGTGCTTCTTTCAAAAGAGGCATGCAGTCTGAGAGGCAGCTTGGTGCCATAGGGGGACCTGTGATGCACAGAGTGTGGCAGGGTGGGAGAGTCGGAACACCAGAGTCACGGACCTAGGTTCAAGTCCCAGCTCAGCCCCTGACAGCCATGTGAGCTGGAGTGAGAAGCACCCCGTCAGAATCTGAGGCTTCCCATTTGTGAAAAAAACGATCGTTTGTTCAACAACAATCATTTGTTCATTCAGAAGTGCTTGGGGAGTGTCTACCATGTGCCAGGCACTATTCCACATGCTCAAGATGCAATGGTGAACAAGTCTACCAACTCACAAGATTGGGCTTACACTCTCGAGCAGGAAATAGACACTAAACAAATGTATAATAGAATGTTGGATGGTGGCAGGTGCTATGAAGAGGAATCAGAGGAAGGGGCAGCAGTAGATGCCATGGGGTGAGATTTGGGGTTAGGAGGAGGAAGTGGTGGAGAAGGAGGAAGAGGTAGTGGAGGAGGTAATGGAGGAGGAGGAGGTAGTGGAGGAGGAGGAGGAGGAGGAGGTGGAAGAGGAGGAGGTGGTGGCTGAGATAGTGGAGGAGGAGGTGGAGGAGGTAGTGGAGGAGGAGGAAGAAGAGGTAGCGGAGGAGAAGGAGGAGGTAGCAGAGGAGGAGGGGGAGGATGAGGTGGAAGAGGAGGTGGTGGTGGCTGAGATAGTGGAGAAGGAGGAGGTGGTGGAGGAGGAGGAGAAGGTAGAAGAGGAGGAGATGGTGGCTGAGATAGTGGAGGAGGAGGAGGAAATAGTGGAGGAGGAGGAGGTGGAGGAGAAGGAGGGAGAAGAATCTAAGCAATGAGTTTTGCAGGCAGCAGACGGATAGCAAGTCCAAAGTCCCTGAGGCAAGAATCAGTTTTCTCTGTCCCAAGAGCAAGAAGGTCAGCGATGATAGCAGAATGAGCAAGGTGGGTTCAGAGACCCTAGGGGGTTAAGTAAAGTTTGCATAACTTAACCCATTATGAAATCAGCAAATGCTGGCCAGAACCAGAGCCCTACTCTGCATGCTGCCCCTCCACAGATGTCAAGGGAAGGGAAATAAAGCTCTTTGGTGTTTGTGGACTGAGGACCACACATGCAGAATCTGTGAACTCAGGAAGTCCTTACCTGCAAAATCCGTGGCCATTTTAAACTAAAGAAAAGGAAGTCTCACATTGCCATGCTCACTCCCACACAGCTTGCACCTCCAGTAAGGTCTGGAAAGGCCACTTGCCCCAGGTGTAAATGACACACAGTGCTGAGAAGCAGGAGGAGCCTGGCAGAGTGGAGGAGCTGCAGTGAAAGAGCTCCCCTTGGAAAGTGGGGGTGTGGAGGGGGGGCTTGGGGCCACTCCAGATGCTGCTCCTAGCTGGATGGGGTCACTGGACTGGTCAGGGGTAACCGGACTGGACGGGGTCACTGGACTAGTCAGGGGTAACTGGACTGGATGGGGTCACTGGACTGTCAGGGGTAACTGGACTGGATGAGGTCACTGGCTGGTCAGGGGTAACTGGACTGGATGGGGTCACTGGCTGGTCAGGGGTAACTGGACTGGATGGGGTCACTGGCTGGTCAGGGGTAACTGGACTGGATGGGGTCACTGGACTGTCAGGGGTAACTGGACTGGATGGGGTCACTGGCTGGTCAGGGGTAACTGGACTGGATGGGGTCACTGGCTGGTCAGGGGTAACTGGACTGGATGGGGTCACTGGCTGGTCAGGGGTAACTGGACTGGATGGGGTCACTGGACTGTCAGGGGTAACTGGACTGGATGGGGTCACTGGACTGTCAGGGGTAACTGGACTGGATGGGGTCACTGGCTGGTCAGGGTTCAGAGAGGAAGTGGGAGAGCCGTGTAGCAGGGCCCAGGGGATGAAGCAAGGACTCCTACCAGCTCGTTAACTGAGGCTGAGAGTCAGGCTGTGCTCAGCCAGTCGCGTGCCGAATTCTTGGAACCAAATTGAAATACGTACTTTTAACAAAAACGGTGTTTCAATTTTCCCTTTAAAAAAAAAAAAGAAAGGTCAAAGTGAACTCTATTGATTTATAAAATCTCTTGAGCCTGACTAGAGCTAGAAAAATTTTAAACTTCTCCCACTTGGTCAGGCACGGTGGCTCACACCTGTAATCCCAACACTTTGGGAGGCCAAGGCGGGCGTTTCACGAGGTCAGGAGATGGAGACCTTCCTGGCTAACACGGTGAAACCCCATATCTACTAAAATACAAAAAAAAAAAAAAAAAAATTAACTGGGCATGGTGGTGGGTGCCTGTAGTCCCAGCTATTTGGGAGGCGGAGGCAGGAGAATGGCGTGAACCCGGGAGGCAGAGCTTGCAGTGAGCCGAGATCGCGCCACTGCACTCCAGCCTGGGTGACAGAGCGAGACTCTGTCTCAAAAAAAAAAGCTTCTCCCACTCTCACCTTAATAGGACTTCTGATACAACTGATTCAAATCCTTAGTTCTTTAGGTTGACTGTCCAATACTCGAGACTTGCTTCTGTTGCCTGGATCTCGTCCCCTGATCTTTTAAATGCTTCCAGCCAAAGGTTTAAAGGCATCTCCCCTCACCTTCCCAGTTCCAGGCATGAGCTGCTGGCTGGCTGCCACTTAGCTGTGGGCCCTGCAGAGAGGATCCCTAGGGGCTTGTGCCACGCACAGGAGCACAGGGAACCTGGACTCTGTTGGAACTGTTTATGTGTTCCTCATGAGTCTGAGTCGAAACCAGTGGTTCTCAGTGGGCAGATGGGAAAGAGGACATCCTTCCATAGGGCCATAGGTTCAGAGGGGTGGGGCCGTCTGCCACGGGCCCCCTGAGATTCCAGGAAGGACAACCCCTAGGTTTGAGAAGCGCAAGGTCACCTGTGCTTGCCTTCATCCCCGGCCCACCTGGAGACCGACTCCTGGGCATCTGGGAGTGACTACAGGGTGGCCAGGGAAGGAATTTAGCCTGGCTGTCCTCTGGGGGCCAGGATCCCTGGGATGGAGTGGGGTGGGGGACCGGGCTGGGGCCCTCGGAGGGCTTCATGTGCTAACTCGTGCGTGTCCCTCTCACAGTGCCACCCGTCCCCCTACTCCAGCTGGAGAAATGCTGCACCCGCAACAACAGCGTCACGCTGGCCTGGAGGATGCCACCCTTCACCCACAGCCCTGTGGACGGCTACATCCTGGAGCTGGACGATGGCGCCGGGGGGCAGTTCCGGGTGAGGCCTTGCTGCCTATTTGGCAGGGATTGAGGGTACTGATGCAGACGCCAGAGTGGCTCCCACTGCCCCAAGCTCTGGTTCAGCCCATGGGGACATTGTGTTGCCATCCTGAGGGGACACTAGCCAAAAGGATAAAGAGGGCTGGCTGGGCTCAGGGAAATGGGGCTTCCCTCCCAAGGGCTAGGTCCGGGAGGACTGACACAAGCATGGGGCTAGAGGAGAACTCAGAGAAGGTGCTCCCTGCACCCACCTCCTTTCCCATTTACCCCCAGCCCCTCATACAGCAACATATGCCCTCAACGGGTTTTATCACACCTTGTCTTGTCTGATCCTCTAATTATTTCACCCGGTTCTGTCTTGACTTGGGAGGTATCATTTCTGGAGATGAGGAAGCACTGTCTGACCCTCCTTTACCTGGCAAGGTGCTGGGCACGTAGAGGATGCTGGATAAATGGTTGTTGAATTGGGACAACATTCTAGTCATGTCGCTGCTGATAGACTGCCATGGGGGTAAGAAAGGTTCTTAGTGAGCCAGGTTCTTACTCCCATCTGCTAGAAACCCTGGAGCAGGACTCCACCCCAATCCAGCCCTAATAGAGCACCACCCAGTCCAGCCCTAATAGAGCACCACCCAATCCAGCCCTAATAGAGCACCACCCAGTCCAGCCCTAATACAGCACCACCCCAATCCAGCCCTAATACAGCACCACCCAGTCCAGCACTAATACAGCACCACCCAGTCCAGCCCTAATAGAGCACCACCCAATCCAGCCCTAATAGAGCACCACCCAGTCCAGCCCTAATACAGCACCACCCAATCCAGCCCTAATAGAGCACCACCCAATCCAGCCCTAATACAGCACCACCCAATCCAGCCCTAATACAGCACCACCCAATCCAGCCCTAATACAGCACCACCCCAATCCAGCACTAATACAGCACCACCCAATCCAGCACTAATAGAGCACCACCCAATCCAGCCCTAATACAGCACCACCCCAATCCAGCCCTAATACAGCACCACCCAATCCAGCCCTAATACAGCACCACCCCAATCTAGCCCTAATACAGCACCACCCAGTCCAGCCCTAATACAGCACCACCCAATCCAGCCCTAATACAGCACCACCCCAATCCAGCCCTAATACAGCACCACCCAATCCAGCCCTAATACAGCACCACCCCAATCCAGCACTAATAGAGCACCACCCAATCCAGCCCTAATACAGCACCACCCCAATCCAGCCCTAATAGAGCACCACCCAATCCAGCCCTAATACAGCACCACCCAATCCAGCCCTAATAGAACTCCACCCCCATCCAGCCCTAATAGAGCACCACCCAATCCAGCCCTAATACAGCACCACCCCAATCCAGCACTAATACAGCACCACCCCAATCCAGCACTAATAGAGCACCACCCAATCCAGCCCTAATACAGCACCACCCAATCCAGCCCTAATACAGCACCACCCCAATCCAGCCCTAATACAGCACCACCCCAATCTAGCCCTAATACAGCACCACCCAGTCCAGCCCTAATACAGCACCACCCAATCCAGCCCTAATACAGCACCACCCCAATCTAGCCCTAATACAGCACCACCCAATCCAGCCCTAATACAGCACCACCCCAATCCAGCACTAATAGAGCACCACCCAATCCAGCCCTAATACAGCACCACCCAATCCAGCCCTAATAGAACTCCACCCCAATCCAGCCCTAATAGAGCACCACCCAATCCAGCCCTAATACAGCACCACCCAGTCCAGCCCTAATAGAGCACCACCCCAATCCAGCACTAATACAGCACCACCCAATCCAGCCCTAATACAGCACCACCCCAATCCAGCACTAATAGAGCACCACCCAATCCAGCCCTAATACAGCACCACCCAATCCAGCCCTAATAGAACTCCACCCCAATCCAGCCCTAATAGAGCACCACCCAATCCAGCCCTAATACAGCACCACCCAGTCCAGCCCTAATAGAGCACCACCCCAATCCAGCACTAATACAGCACCACCCCAATCCAGCCCTAATACAGCACCACCCCAATCCAGCCCTAATAGAGCACCACCCAATCCAGCCCTAATAGAACTCCACCCCCATCCAGCCCTAATAGAGCACCACCCAATCCAGCCCTAATACAGCACCACCCAGTCCAGCCCTAATAGAGCACCACCCCAATCCAGCACTAATACAGCACCACCCCAATCCAGCCCTAATACAGCACCACCCCAATCCAGCCCTAATAGAGCACCACCCAATCCAGCCCTAATACAGCACCACCCAATCCAGCCCTAATAGAACTCCACCCCAATCCAGCCCTAATAGAGCACCACCCAATCCAGCCCTAATAGAGCACCACCTCGAGATTTCACTCCGTGACGTTCAGGCGGACGTGAATGCCAGGGAGCACAAACTATGGGCTTCTCAGATCACCTGGTTCCTGGCCCCGAAATGATTAAATAAACACTCATTCTAACAAACTACTGCAATCATAACAACCCTTGCATCTCTTCTCCTGGGAAGCTGCACCCATTTAACAAACCTTGCTGAAGGTCAACATTCCCTTAGTTTCTCTCAAGGAGATGTACGTATGTGTCGTTTTACTTTGTGTTTGAAAAATACAGGAATGTATGAATTAGGGAAATAGTTGCAGCACTTCCTTGGGAATTACTGAGTTCCATGTGAATATGGGCCAATTAGGGAGGCAAGATGAGGTAGCTCAAGCCAGGTCACTGAGTGCGGACCCCAGTCACTCCTGTTGTGCAAATGAGCCAAGAACTGAAAGAGCTCATCCACCAGACAACAACAGGAGAGTCAGTATTTTTGAAATGGGAAGAAAGAAAAGGCTGTTTGGGAATATTAAAAGCAGCAGCCACAGAGCTCAAAAGTGGTCCCTCGTCTTTGAGACATGGCCACTAACAAAAGCTAGACCCAAGGGCTAGGGTTTATAAGGAAGTGGGTCTTATAGTGGGAAAAGTATGGATATTGCATGCAGACAGACCTGGATTTGAGCTATGGCTCCTATATGAATTAGCTGTGATCTTAGACCACATTATTTAATTAGCAGAAAATAATGACATGGGAGAGGCAAAAGGCTATGCATTTTGGGGGTTGAATAGGACAAAGGTAACTTTGAAGCGAATGAGGAACAAGGTCAATCTTTAGAAAAGTATCTTTGGAGGCCAGGCACGGTGGTTCACACCTGTAATCCCGGCACTTTGGGAGGCCAAGGCGGGTGGATCACTTGAGGTGAGGAGTTTGAGACCAGCCTGGTCAACATGGTGAAACCCCATCTCTACTTAAAATACAAAAATTAGCCGGGCATGGTGGCAGATGCCTGTTGTCCCAGCTACTCTGGAGGCTGAGGCACAAGAATCACTTGAACTTGGAAGGCAGAGATTGTAGTAAGTCAAGATCGCACCACTGCACTGCAGCCCAGGTGACAGAGTGAGACTCTGTCTCAAAAAAAAAAAAAAAAAAAAAAGAAAGAAAGAAAAGTATCTTTGGGGTCTGATGCAGAAATGTCTCACCCTTTGGAAAGACCAGGAAAACAGCAGCTCCAGGAGGGCTAAGGAGTGGAAAATGCCAGCCTAAGGGGTGGGAGGAGACAAAGGAGTGGATGTGCCCTGTGGCTCAATAGTCTTGTAGACCAGGTTGACCTTGGCAGAGTCAGGATGTTCCTGGTCAGTATCCTGGCTGGCTGCAGACTTGAGAAGTCGCCTCACCAGGACTCCATCACGCCTCACCACCTCACAGGCAGAGGGGCCAGGCAGCCAGTAGTAAGGAATTCATGCCCAAGTTAGTCAAGTTCTGTGAGCCAGCCATGACTGAACGCAATTTCCCTTTTTATTACCTTCTATTTGGGTAAGAATTTTTTTTTAAATTTTTTGGCTGGGCATGGTGGCTCACACCTGTAATCCCAGCACTCTGGGAGGCCAAGCAGGAGGATCACCTGAGGTCAGGAGTTCGAGACCAGTCTGGCCAACATATAGGGAAACCCCATCTCTACTAAAAAAATATATATATAAAAATTAGCTGGGCATGGTGGTGCATGCTTGTAGTCCCAGCTACTTGGGAGGCTGAGGCAGGAGAATCACTTGAACTTGGGAGGCAGAGGTTGCGGTAAGCCGAGATCATGCCACTCCACTCCAGCCTGGCAACAGAGCAAGACTCTGTCCCTCAAAAAAATTAAAACAAAAGTTGTTTGGAAATGGGGTCCTGCAATGTTGCCCAGTCTGGACTCAAGCGATGCTCCCACCTCTGCCTCCCGAGTAGCTGGGACTACAGGCCACCACGCCTGGCAAAAGCACTTTTAACGTCAGTGTGTTTCCAGAAGCCATTTGCTGAGAGGAATTTTCCAAATGCTAGAGGAGCCTGGTGAGCAGCATTGCTCTCTTTCAGGAAGTGTACGTCGGTAAGGAGACTTTGTGTACCATCGACGGTCTTCACTTCAACAGCACCTACAACGCCCGAGTCAAAGCTTTCAACTCGTCTGGTGTCGGGCCTTACAGTAAAACTGTCGTCCTGCAGACGTCCGATGGTGAGCATCGGGGTCTCTTAGTGGGAAGAACAGATCCATCATTTTGTCCAATGACAAGCAGACAGCCACTTGCAGCAGCTGTGATGACGGAGTGGGGGTGGGGGTGGTGCTAGGCACATCTGGGTTCTCCAAGGGCGCGCCCTTCTGGGACCATAGGTGGCCTCCCGAAGGACAAAGATTGACTCCTAGGGCCAACCCACATTTCATCCCGTGGACCAGGGCAAAGGATGAGCTGCTGAAGATGGTGGAGGGAGGAAGTGCAGGGCCGGAGGGGCCTGTGGAGGTGCATACGCCTCACCCTGCTCTGCACACACAGCTCCTTGCTGCACCCACGTGGCCTACAAGCCACGAAAGAAACATTCCTTTACCCCATTGTGCTGGACTAAATGTGAAGTAGCTGAGGGAGGCTAAACTTCTCCCACTTCTCAAGGGCCAAGGAGTGAGTAGGACAGTCCCAGACAAGAAAACACCACGATAGATACAGTGGGCCCACACCGGTCCCTACATTTGAGCCTTTCTCACAGCGGAAGAGGGCTCTTTAACCCCCAGCATTGGAGCTCACATGCAGTGGTTTATACACCTACCCAGCCTTCTAGGTCTTGGGCAACAACAGCATGTTGAAATTAATTCAGTGGAATTTTGATCATTTGAGTTCTTAGCAGGGAGCGATGAGAGAAATAGAAATCATATTCCAAAGAGAGTCCTGCCCCACCCGGCGTGGCCCAGCCCAGGCTGCAGAGGCAGTTTCCAGCTCCCCACTGCCTCCGAGAAGAGGGCAAATCCTGTATTCGTTTTCATCATTGAGTCTACACGTCCTCTGACTGCCACCGCTGAATGGTCTCCTAGAGGCAGGGAGGAGAAGAAGCAGGAGCAGATGCTGGTGTCAAAAGACCCAGCCAGGGACACTTTTCTGAAAATGGTGCCACCTGCAGAGTCCACTTTGTCCACCCCTAGAGGAGAGCTCGCTCGCTTCTGTCTCTAGACTCTCCTGCCTAGAGACGAGCGGTCCTTGCCCTGTGCACTGTGGTCATGACTTTAGAGTAAGGGCCTCACTTCCAACAAACTTGGGGGTTGGGGAGCAAAAGGGGGCAGTGGCTGATGGGCTGCAAAATGGAGAATTGAGCTTTGTGACTTTGGCCTATCACTTCACCTCTCTGTGTCTCAAATCTCCCACCCACGAGGTGGCTCATCAATATCTATTTCCTCCTGTACTTCTTTTTCTCTCTTTTTTTTTTTTTTTTTTTTTTTGAGAAGAAGTCCCACTCTGTTGCCCAGGTCACAGTGCAATGGCACAATCTTGGCTCACTGCAACCTCTGCCACCCTGTTCAAGTGATTGCCCTGCCTCAGCCTCCTGAGTAGCTGGGACTACAGGTGCCCACCACCATGCCCAGCGAATTTTGTTTGTTTGTTTGTTTGAGATGGAGCCTCACTTTGTCGCCCAGGCTGGAGGGCAGTGGTGCGATCTCGGTTCACTGCAAGCTCCACCTCCCAGGTTCACACCATTCTCCTGCCTCAGCCTCCCGAGTAGCTGGGACTACAGGCGCCTACCACCACGCCCGACTGATTTTTTTGTATTTTTAGTAGAGGCGGGGTTTCACCATGTTAGCCATGATGGTCTCTATCTCCTGACCTCGTGATCTGCCCGCCTCGGCCTCCCAAAGTGCTGGGATTACAGGTGTGAGCCACCATGCCCAGCCATGAATTTTTGTATTTTTAGTAGGGATGGGGTTTTGCCATGTTGGCCAGGCTGGTCTCAAACTCCTGACCTGAAGTGCTCCACCCACCTCGGCCTCCCAAAGTGCTGGAATTACAGGTGTGGGCCACCGCACCCCGCCTATTTCCTCCTGTACTTACAACGTGTCTGAGCGTTTGGAAGGATTTTAGAAACCAAGACCGGGAAATGCATCTAGATTTGAGGCTTTGAGGCCTGAAAATCCTTGGCAAGGCTAGGCTCGTAGGTCTAGTAACTTGGATGAACACAGAGCAGGGCATGTGTGTGAGTGTGTGCGTGTGTGTGTGTGTGTGTGCACGTGTGTGGTAATCATACAGGAAAGAACCTTCACTCCTGGGTGCCGACCTTCTAACAGAAGCAAGTGTGTTTGTATCTCTGAGCCAGTTAGAAACTACTGGCAAATTCCATCCCCTGACCCTGCTCCTCTCGCCTCCTTCCTTTTTAGTGGCCTGGTTCACATTTGACCCCAACTCTGGGCATCGGGACATCATTTTATCCAACGACAACCAGACAGCCACCTGCAGCAGCTATGATGACCGGGTGGTGCTGGGCACAGCTGCGTTCTCCAAGGGTGTGCACTACTGGGAGCTGCACGTGGACCGGTACGACAACCACCCAGACCCCGCCTTCGGGGTGGCCAGGGCCAGCGTGGTCAAGGACATGATGCTGGGCAAGGATGACAAGGCCTGGGCCATGTATGTGGACAACAACCGCAGCTGGTTCATGCACTGCAACTCCCACACCAACAGGTGCGATTGGGCCCCATCCTGCCTCCCATGGACACAGGTTGTTTGGGAATGAGGGTCCTGAAGACCAGTGTCCCTTCTGCTGTCCCCAAAGCCAGCAGGAATTGGGAGGAGGTATTTTCAGCCACTTTGATCTCCATTTTCTAGGAAGCTTTGACTCTGCCCACATAGAACTGGCCTGCAGCCCAGATGAGGGTATGTTATGGTGATTCGCACAGCACCCGCACAGATGGGTCTCCAAAGTTACCCAGCAGGCCACACGGTGGTCCTCTGCTGGAATATGGAGCTCGTAGTTTTCTTTCTGGTCCAGCTTCACTTTCCTTTGCAACTGTCAACCCAAGCTTGAGTCACTGCAAGGCGTTAATGGGCACCACTGGGGTTGATGTCCTCACAGCTGTGACCAGGTCATTGCCACTAACTTGCCTGCAGTGATCCTGGCCACTGCCCTGGTCTCATGTGGGCTTGAGCCTCAGCAGGGCCGGGCCCTCGACAGGGCAGTAGCAGAGGGCATGGCTGGGGTGCTCACTACTAAAACGAGTCTGCCAAGGGTGCCTACAGCTGTGGCTTTGCCCTGAGACTGGCCCTGGGAGTAGGGTTGCCAGTGTGGACACAGGAGACTCAGGTCCTGGCCTGTGTCACTACTGGGGCCTCTGTTAGGAGGGCAGAAGGGGATGGGTCCTCCGGGACTGCCCCTGAGGCCTGGTCTTCTCCAGGGTGCCTTGGTCTCTCTACTCAGACACAGAGAAGGCAGTGCCCCCACCCCCCCGACACACCTGCACCATAGCCCCGTACTCTTTCTCCTCTCCCAGGGATTTTGTGCTCACAACTGGCCGGCATGTGGGGATGGATGTGGGGGTGAAGAATCCCCAAGGCCAGAAATGGAGAATTGCAAGTTGCGGACACCTGGCGCCACCTCCTTGCTATGGAGCCTTGCTCCTGGTCTGCTAAGGGCCATCTCCGCAGCAGGAAGGGGTGGGGAACTTCAAGAAGCTGACATTGACTTCGCTGGCCCCAGTCCCAGGCAAAATTGACCGGAGGCTCTCAGTGCTCTGGGCCCACCTGCAGCTCCTATAACAGCCCCTAGGGCACCTTCCCGCAGAGTAAGGACCAGCTTCTTCTTTCTCAGGGAAGCCAGGTCTAATCTGGGCCAAGGACTTGCCCGAGGGCCCTCAGGACCCTGTCTGCCTGCCTCTTTGCTGGTAGGCAGGGCCCCTTCTCTCCTGAGTCCTGGGGAAGAGGCGGGCAGCTCTGCGCCTCTGCCTAGACCCTGCAAGCTGGCCATTCTCCCTCTTACCCACAGAGGGGCCAAGTCCAGGCCCATCAGCTCCGTCTCTGCTTGCTTAAGCCAAACTGGCACCCAGATACCCTGTTTGCTGGCAGGAGTAATAACAAGAAGCATTTGTCAAGCCCTTACTTGTGTTCAGTGCTGTAGGAAGCACTCAATTTATCTTGAGCTCATTTAATCCTTGCAAAAGTGCTATTATTGTTGCCATTTTACAGATTATAAAAGTGGGGCTTAGACTGGAATGGTGGCTCACACCTGTAATCCCAGCACTTAAGGAGGTCGAGGCAGAAGGATTGCTTGAGCCCAGGAGTTTGAGACCAGCCTGGGCAACTTAGTGAGACCCTGTCTCTATAAATAATAGTAATTTTAAAAATTAGCCAGGCATGGTGCTGTGTACCTGTAGTCCCAGCTACTTGGGAGGCCGAGGCAGGAGGATCACTTGAGTCCTGGAGTTCAAGACCAGCCTGGGCAACATAGTGAGACCCTCCTCTCTACAAAATAAATAAATAAATTAAAAGCCTGGGCTTAGGAAGGTCGGACAATGGTTCAGGCCATGCGGCCAGTTGACACACACAGGGTTGAGCCCAGGACCCCAGCCTCGGTTTGTGTGGTGCGGACTCCCCAGCCCTCCCGGCCATTGGCCACCACACTCCTCCCAAGGGCTGCCGAGCACTTCTTGGGCCTTTGCTGTCCTTGACGGCCCCTTGGTGCCACCTCAGTAAGAAAAACAGAAGGGAAGTGGGGCCATGAGAAGGTAGAGAGAATCTGCCCCTTTCTGCATGTCCTCCCACCCTGGGATGTGGATCGGGTAGGGTAAGCGCTATCTGGGAGGAAGTCGAGGCAGCCGGGAAGTTGGACCCCAGAGCTAACTGGGCCTGAGGCTTTGCTTAGGTCGGACTCATTTCTGCACCTCCCGTGGGTCACTACCGCCACCCGGTGGTCAGTATCCAAATAGCACCAACAGTGCGGTTTTAGTTCCCTTCTCCCACCTGCCGGGGCACCCTCGGGGAAGCCCTGCCCTCTCCGGAAACACTTGTCTGGGCCGGGCCGCTCACCAAGTCCTCCTTGGGACTTCCTGTCGTGAATCCTTCTCGCTGCTCACCTTCCCTCTGCCCAACCAGCAGCGTCCAGTAGATCAACTCATTCTCAATCTGGAAGGACAGACAAGGTTTTCTTAGCAGAGTGGCGTTGCTAAGATTAAGGCTAAAACCTCAGCCCTGAGCGGGCGCGGTGGCTCAAGCCTGTAGTCTCAGCTACTCAGGAGGCTGAGGCAGGAGGATCCCTTGAGCCCAGGAGTCCAAGACCAGCCTGGGCAACATAGTGAGGCCCTCGTCTCTATAAAATATGTTTAAAATTAGCTGGGCATGGTGTGTGCCTGTAGTCCCAGCTATTCGGGAGGCTTGTGGGAGGATCCGTTGAGCCCAGGAGTTTCAGGCAACAGTGAGCCATGATTGCACCACTGCACTTCAGCCTGGGCCACAGGGAGAGACATCCACTCAAAAACGAAGACCACCTCAGGGAAGGGAAGGGGAGTCTACAGGATTCGGCCCATGGGAGAAGACGTGGTCAGCCAAGCCCCTCTTGGGAGCATGTTCCTTACTTTTATTAACAGATTCGCTTCCACCAGGTGGATGTGAATTCTTACCACCTACGAAGTACGACATTGCCAACGCTGATCAAGAGCAGAATGGATGTTCTCAAGGTTCCGCTATTGGTCACCTGTGGGATGGTGACTCCAACAGAGAACTTGATTTTAACTTCAGCACCCTTCTCCCTGCCATACACTGCTTTTCGAGGGACCCTAGGATGTTTCTGGGAAGATAAGCCAATGTAGGGTAGGGGCCTTTCAAAATTTCCTGAAGGCCTGGATGTCCACATCTTCATCGACCTCAGCATCCTCACTTGCCTAAAACAGAAAAGGGCACCAAGTCAGTTACTTTCTTTGGCAGGAAAAGGTGCCTTTCTTACCCACTCTGCATGCTCCACAGTTTCAAATGGGACCTACTCATCAGAACCCGATTTTTCTAGTATGCAGATTCCAGATGCTCTCAGGAAGAGGGGGCTGAACAGCCTGGTTCCTCTAGGGGAGTCTTCATCATGGCCTGTTAACAAGGTGTGTCCACTGTGAGAGAAGGCTCATATGCCAGGAGAGCACCCCACCACCACCTTGGGGGCCATGTTTAAGTGAGGGTGTTCCCAGCATCCTATAAATCATTTTCCTGCCCGGGCATGGTGGCTCATGCCTATAATCCCAGCACTTTGGGAGCCCAAAGTGGGAAGATCACTTGAGCCTAGGAGTTCAAGACCAGCCTGGGTAACATAGTGAGACCCCTGTCTCTACAAAAAACACAAACAAAATTAGCTGGGTCTCATGTCATGCACCTGTAGTCTGAGCTACTCGGGAGGCTGAGGTGGGAGGATCTCTTGAGCCTGGGAGGGTGAGGCTGTTGTGCGCCGAGATGGCGTCACTGCACTCCAGCCTGGGTGACAGAGTGAGACCGTGTCTCCAAATAAATAAATAATTCTCCTGAGTTAATCTCCTACATCCCAGGCTGGGTGTGGTGATGGTCTTCCTGGGGACTCTCTTCCCAGGACGGAAGGCGGCGTGTGCAAGGGGGCCACCGTGGGCGTGCTGCTGGACCTGAATAAGCACACCCTCACTTTCTTCATCAACGGGCAGCAGCAGGGCCCCACAGCCTTCAGCCACGTGGACGGGGTCTTCATGCCAGCCCTCAGCCTCAACCGCAATGTGCAGGTACACGCCTCCCCCAGGCCGGACCTGGTCTGGCTGCTCCCCACTGTTTGTCCACAAGTCTCTGCAGTGCCCATGGGCAGAGTGGGCCATAAAGAAGCTGACCACAGAGCCTTCCCAGACAGAGCTTATCGAGTGGACTGCCTTGGACATTTCCTGGAGGCGTTCCGTTCTAACTAGTTCACTTGGGACACCCAAGGGCCCTAAGGTGGCAGCTTCTGGAGACGCAGACCTCATGGCTGAGCCCAGTCCCTGGGGAGTGCTGGTAGCTCAGGAGGCCTGAAACAGAGAGACAAGAATGAGAGCCCAGGAGGGTGAGAGGAAGGGAGAAACACAAAGGTGCCATCCATCGTCTTAGTAGAGTCCTCCTCCACTTGGGATGGGGAGTTGGAGTGTGGGGAGGCAGGGTCCTGTTCTGTGGCCCTGAATATTGAGGAGTCTACACCAATCACTGATTGATCGATTTGATCTTCTACTCATTTGCAAAAGGGATTTGTGGCAACCTAAAAGATAGGCTTGGCTGGGCATGGTGGCTCACGCCTGTAACCCCAGTACTTTGGGAGGCCGAGGCGGGCAGATTATGAGGTCAGGAGATCGAGGCCATCCTGGCTAATATGGTGAAACCCTGTCTCTACCAAAAATACAAAAAAAAAAAAAAAAAAAAAATAGCCGGGTGTGGTGGCAGGTGCCTGTAGTCCCAGCTACTCAGGAGGCTGAGGCAGGAGAATGGCGTGACCTGGGAGGTGAAGCTTGCAGTGAGCCGAGATCGCGCCACTGCACTCCAGCCTGAGTGACAGAGCAAGACTCTGTCTCAAAAAAATAAAATAAAATAAAAGATAGCCTTGGCCAGGCATGGTGGTTCACGCCTGTAACCCCAGTACTTTGGGAGGCCATGGCAGGAGAATCGCTTGAGCCCAGAAGTTTGACACTAGCCTGGGGAACTAGCAAGACTCCATCTCTACCAATGAACAAATAAGCTTTTTTTAATCAAAAAAATAAAAGGTTGGCTATTATTCCTCACAGTTAATAGAATGGGATTAGTAGGAAAGGAAAGAAGGTCGTGGCTAGAAAGTAGACACAAATATGTAACCACGGGAGCCAGTGCATGAGAGCCGTGCTCCTGGGACAGCATCTACTTTGCCCGGCTCTGGCAGCTCTGGCAAAATGAGGAACCAGTCAGCTGGGTGATTCTTATTATGAGGAAAGAGGTGCAAACCAACATAGCCTTTAATTAGGGATATTGAGTGACATAATATTCACCAGTCTACAGCAGCCCTAAGCTGTTGCATGGATGGCCCTGGAGCCAGCAGGGGATCCTGCCGGTGTCTGCGGTGCCTTTGGAGCACTCAGGGCCCCTGTAGCAGCCTCTCCCACCCTCACTTCCCCTGTCTTCTTTTCCAGGTCACCCTGCACACAGGATTGGAAGTGCCGACTAACCTGGGGCGGCCAAAGCTGTCAGGCAATTAGCTCCGCTCCAGCTTGGCACTGCGCCTGTGACACTGACATTCACAGGCAAAATGCCCACCATTCTCACTAAGCTCAAATAACCCACAAAAGCAGGATATGCAAGTCATGGGTACAACCTGGCAGCGTGGAATGTCATAGAAACATTTTCTTGGGGGCACGGGGAATGGGTCCACGGGCCATGCTCACAGCTGCCACTGTCAGTGGCAAAGGCGGGTACGTGTGTCACCCTTATTCCACCCAGACGTTACGAACGCTCGCCAAGAAGGACCTTTCTCAAGGGAGTCAGCATTCGGGCTTCAAGTCTGTGTTTCCTGCCAGCTGTTTTCAAAGCTTGTCTTTTTTTGGAGGGAGAAGAAGGTAGACTTTGAGACTGGCCTCCTGAGAGTGGCAGTCAGGAGCTGCGCTGTAATCCCACACCCCGGATGTTGGCCCTCTGCGGGGACCCTGCCTCCTCAGAGTCCCAAGACTGCAGATTCTCATCATGCTGAGAAAGTTATCTTCTAGCTTCTTGGTCCTAGAGTCTTTAGTAGTGCCTGCCACTCGCAGACCCAATGCAGGATTGATAGAAAGGGATATTAATCATTCTTGCTAGACTTTTGCCTCTCTCACTGAAGTGTTGAGAACCTTTTAAAATGGCTTCCTTTATTAGTCAGCCAATTGTGTTCTCTCTCTCTCTTTTCCTCCCTCCTTCATTTCTTCTCCCTCCCTCCTTCTCTCTCTTTTCTTCTCTCTCTCCTTCCCTCCCTCCTTCAATCTCTTTCTTCCTTTCCTCCTTCTCTCTTACTTTCCTCCATCCCTGCCTCTCTTTCTTCCATCTTTCCCTCTCTTTCCCTCCCTCCTTCTCTCTTTCTGTCTCTCACATACACACACACATCCCCCCCCCACACACACACACACAAAACAGTCTCCTAAAATTAATTCACTCAGTTCTTAGTTCTTAAATCCACATGAAAACACAAGAATTTTAACAACTATGTCAGACGTCTTCACCTGGTGGTGGCTCCTTTCTGAAACTGGCAACCCAAGAAGTTAACTGAAAACACATCCAGATTGCTCTTCTGAGCAGAACCACTCTCAGACTCATGAGCATTTAAGATGGCAGACCCTGGGAAAGCCTCTTCTAGTCAGTCCACCCTATTGTCGTTATGAAAGCATCATGACACAAGTGGCCCCTGTGGCAGGCAGGGACGGCTCTGCCCTGATGCAGTGGGCGGGATCTCTGGGGAAGGCAGAAAATAGAAGAGCAATATCAGGTACCTTGTCTCCCAGCTTCCCACTGTGAGACTGGGTGTGCCGAGTCTGACCTGCCAGGGCGGGACTCCGGAAACACCAGGCTTCTCCCTTGAGATCCACATTGAGTCGTCCACACCTCTCAGAGACAGCTCACGACAGGGGTTCTGAGACCGCCGGGCTCTTGTTCCCAGGGAAACCTTCCTCTCCTCCCTCCTCTCATCTTCCCAGTCACCTGCCACCTCCAGCTCTACCTGGTAGTAATATTTCTCTCTCCTTTTAAAAAGAATATATTTTGTCAAGCATTTTATTTCTGAGGCTGAGAAGTGACTTGTCAATTTGCTGGACTGGATTTTTATAAAAACTCGCCCCGTACACCGGCACCGACTGTGCGTCCTTGGTTCTGCCTTCCTGTTCAGATACCACACCTGCTTTCTGAGTAACCGCCTGCCAGAGCCATGCAGGTCCCCCGCCTCCACTCAGCAGGCCCGACAATCCTACCTCAAAGCTCATGCTCTTGGTCTGCAAGGCCGCCTGGTCCACTGTCTCTGCGATGTGGCCGGCAAGGCCAGCTGCCCCGTCTGCAGGAGCTGCTTGGTGCTGTGTTGCAGCCTCTGCTGCAGAGCCTGGGAGCCATCTGCTTCGTGGAAGTCTAGGTCTTGCCTCTTCCTTGTCATCTCACCAAGCGGTTTCTGGCTCTCCTCCTCCCATCCCAGAGCCCCGTCCAGAGCCCTTGGAGGTAACATACAAGACCTAGGACCCTGTGTGCTTGCCCACACCGCTGCCTCTGTCTCCCATATCCCTGCAGCTTCATCCTTGGCCATAGCTCTGGGTGGCCATGGCTTGGAGCATGGAGAAGATCCCTAAAGATTGAGGATGAAGAGCAGTCACCACTTTCCTAGGCCTGAGGAAGCTATCAGCTTTGGGAAGTGTCTAGCTGTCTTCTGAAAAAAACAGACCTACACCCTGCCCCCAGAATGAGAGTGGGCTACGCAGGGCTGCCTGGTGACAGCGGCTTCTCACAGGGGAGTCCCGGGGAAGGCTGTGGAGCCTCCACCGTCACCACAGCCCGGGTCACCAGGGGACCCCAGCTCTGCAGAGGAATCGCCCATCACTGGAGCACAAGCTGCCTGGAGCTACCCTGAACCTAACTCCTTTGAAGGAGCAGCATCCAGGTCAGGAGAGAAGTGGAAAGTGCAGGAGGGAAATGCCCACAGATCTGGTGGCCTCTTTCAGAAAAAAATTCCCTGAAGTCCAGAGAGGTGCAGCAAGGACTCCCTCCTCCCGACTGCTGCCCTGAGCTTGGGGGCTGAGAACCTCCCTTTTCTGACTCCTCCAGGAGCCCAGAAGCAATACGGCCGATGCCTGGGACGGCATCCAGCTCTCCTTCACAGACGCCTCTCCCGTCTTCAGCACAAAACACCTTCAATGTTCTGACTTCAAAGAGAACGGCAGGTCCGTGCCACACACTTGTGTTTTTGAGGGATCAGAAAAGTGAAGAAGGAACTTATCAACTCCTCATGGCCGGGAAGGTCCCGGGTTTCAGAGTAGAAATGACAAGTCATGGAATTCTCATCCACCATCGAATTCCGTAACATGTTACATCATGGTGGCATATTTGTACATAGAAATGATATCAAGATGAGGCTTTAGTTGGGCTGGCTGGGGAGTAACTTGGTGTAAATCTATCAAGCAGTTTCAGTGAAAAAGGAATTCAAAGTAGTTTTAAAATGTCGAGTTCCATTGCATTGTAAATAGTGCCTCTGTAATGTGTTCTGCAGTTGTTCTTTGCTAGTAAGCAAGTGTGGTCAAAGTGTATGCCTTTTCCTTTTAAAATTAATCTCTTCCGAAAATATCCACTAGCACCTCACTGCATACATAGCATCCCAGCTCCTAATTCAAAGCAGGGGAAGGTATTTCCCCAAAGCCTGCTTTTCCCCTCTCTGTTCTCCTTGGGAAAACAATGATTCCAATGAAAGAGGACACCAGTAATACTGACCCACAAGGTAACTGACCTAAGCACTATAAAACTGTATATAGTTCCAGGCTGCATCTTCAGCCTGATATGTACTTTGTAGTTGCAACAGTGCCCTAGGTGCCCTATGGCCCACCAAGTTTGAGGAGGGTGGTGCTTTCCGGATTGAGCCTGGGCAGGCACTGTGTAGCTCACCAAGAGAGCTGGGGGCAGGCCCACCCTCCTCTTTGTGCCCTTTCTCTCCCTCTTGGTGCCCCTGCCCTCTGCCCCACCACAGCACTCTCAGGAAAGGATCAGAATGCAGGATCTTTGTGTATTTCTTCCAGGGATATTTGCATTTAAGCCTTAATTCTCACTGCAAGCGAAAGGCTTGGTCCCCCTGGGAAGGTACATTTCAGCACCAGTGGGCAGGTGGTTCAGTGTCAAGGAGGCTGTTACTGGTCCCATGGCCACCTGCTGGCTGTGCGGTAGTGAGGGAGGGTCAGTCCTTAGGGGGACTCAACATGTGAATGCTGAAGAACACTGTTGCACAGCCTGTGGGGTGGTGCCAGGGTTTCTCAACCTCTACTGACATTTTGCGGTCAGTTCTGTACACTGTAGGATGTTTAGCAACATCCCTGGTCTGTACCCATCATCTGCCAGTAGCAACCCCCAAGTTAGGTGTGACAACCAAAAGTATCTGTAGACATTGCTAGATATCTCTGGGGGCCTCCACAAGTTGAGAACCACCAGGTTATGCTAGTGGTTTGTCATGCGTGGATCTGCAGAGGGACTGTGGCTTTCCGGCTGCATTGTTCCAGAGAAAGCCTGTATGTGACAAAGCTTCCAGCCTTTATCTTGATACCCAAGCCCAGGATTTTCCAAGGGTCTTCAGGGGGCAGGTAGGGGGAAATGGGGTGAGCCACCTCCAGCAGATGCCAACCTGTTGGGTCTTGAATTTTTACTCGCTGAAGATGCCCCCAGCCCGCTCCCCCTTTCCTAGAAAAGCAAAACTTGTTACCTTTGTTTTCCTTGGCCACGTTTTACTGGAAGCAACAGGGACTTCTTAATGGGTTTGTGGCCCTCAATTTGTTTTTTTAAAAAATCTAACAGATGTTATTGGCAAATATTCAAGATGCTGATGCTGGAAAATTTCAGGACTTTTCTTTTGCAAGTGAGCCGGTAGCTGTGTTTGCTGACCGCATTCTTGGCAGTTCCTCCCGGAAGATCAAAGGATCCTGCAGCTTTAACTGTATCTGGGCTGTAAAAATATGAGGGCAGGTTTCGGGTAGGATGTATTGATCAGACACCAAGTTCAGCCCTGTTACTTCCCTCTTTTAACCTGGCGTTAATAGTGATTCATGGTATGGGTGGGGGCCAGTCTCTTATCCTTTCTGTGCCTCAGTATCCCCGCCTGAAATGGGACTAGTCATACTAACCTACCTCCTCTGATGTATTGTGAGGATTATAGAATAACATTTTTAAAGAAAAAAAGTGCAGTCTTTCACCTCTGGCATCTCAGCTAATGAGTCCCATTCAGTGAATCACACCTGTCAGGGGGGTGGATTCCAGTGTTCTCTGACCAGTGTCTTCCATCCAAGCCTCCTTGTGACCAGGGCAAGGAGCTGCCTGGCCTCCAGCGCGAAAAATAGACCTTTAAGACAGATTTCCTATGACCACAGAAAGTAACACCCCATATGTTTCCGTTCCCGGCAAGGCCTGTTTGAACAGCGCTCTGTGCGTGCTGTGAACAGGCTGCCTGTCAGCAGTCTCACTGCTAGGCCTCAAGGCCTCTGCGTGCAGAAGCCCCTTTAAACCATGGAAGGACACTAACCCAGGCCTCTGCCTTCTTTGTTACCTAAGTTCTGGTATCTAAGGGGTCTCTTAACTCATAGCTTGTCTCCTTTGTTTCGAGGGGTCTCTGCAGTGTGAGTGGGTTTGAAATCCAGCATGGATAGTGGAAAGAGATGCAACTGAGCCGAAGTTTTGAAGGCTGGTTGGGCTAGTGGGTCATCATGTCACTTTCAGATGACTGATGACCACTGAGCCTTCACCAGCACGAGCTATGCAGGTAGGGGGAGGCCCTGGCTTTTTCAATGATTGATGTGGACATGAGTCAGGAGCTGGGAGTTGAGACCTCCAAGGAAGTCTCATCCGGAGCCATCGCTCTTCTCTCAAAGAGCACAGTCCTGGGGAAGGCCTAGGGACTTGTGGGCCAGTGATGCAGGCACTGCAGACCAGCCAGGCCCTCGGGTAAGGCTCTGAGGAGAGGCCAAACCCAGGCTTCAGGTTCGGGAAGGTGACCGCTTGCAACTGCGGTAGCAGGAACGTGTCAGGTGCTTACTGGGTGAGACCCAGCCCGGGAAGCCTCTCCAACTCCTCCTAGCCCTGGAAACCGGACATCCAGAGCCCCAGGCTTTCTTGGCACCCAGAGGAAGCAGGGAGAGGGCAAAGCAGCAAACGTTCAATGCATGATGTAGGATTGCTGCCTTGACACTAAGCTGTTGTATTAAGCATGAGAGGTGTTTGTTTAACGTTGGCAAAGGGATTTAAC